GGGTTAAAGGCAGCAGTAGTGGGTCATGTGGCATGTAGGTACCCCATTCCCCCCTCCTTCTTCCTCCCTGAAAAGGATTGGTGCTATGACTGGACTTTTGTCATCCTTGGAAGTCATCATCAGAGTCAAAGTTGTCAGAGTCAAATGGTGCACGACTTGTTTGTGAAATACTTATCAGTTAGTTTTGGCAGTTTTATTCTTTGTAAGATTCAAGAACAGCTGTCCCTAGTAGTTATTGGTCAGTGGATAGTTCTGAACCTAAGGTTAAAAAAGTATTGCAGATCTCATTGGTTTGTTGATGATATTCTTTTTTGCTGTTATTATTATTTACTTTTTATGGTATTAAGCTGCTCCCTTTACTTGTACTAGTCAGTAAAGTCGTGAAAAAGACAAAAGCATGAAACATACAATTAAACATTCTGTGTCTTATACATTTCATCTTTCAGGATGACTGAGTGTTACTGAGATGGATCAATACTACATTGTAAGTCATGTTAGCCATGATAGGTTACTACAGTTATTGCAGGTACTGTCAGCTACCTGCTTTTTTTTGCATCAGATGAAGATATCACAGAGATGAGGTACTTCAAGAAAACCCTGGTGCAAATTTGTTTAAAGGGTGTTGATGGTTGGATGAAACACCAAGAAAATAAACACTAAACTACTATATAAACCCTTTGGATCGGATCTAAACCTAAACTTATCTTGAAATCCTTCTGAATGGCTATGGAACTCGAGAGAACCATGAAAACACTCTGCTACTGAATTATACAACACTTTACAATAAGTACTAATTACAGATGAAGCTATTTTGGCAAAGAATGTCACTGGGTTGCATATGTTATTGAACAACAACAAAAATTATTATGTAAGTGTCATTGTTCTATTTTTTTACAAGTTCTTGATCACCTTCCTCACAGTCCTTTTTTGTAGTCAAAGTCTTTTAAACACATGATGATGAAACTAGATGTATTTTGAATTAATTGGTTGTATTTTACAGATTTCTGATAACACTTTTTTTGTCATCAGATTTCTTACATTTAACCCCTAGAATGGTAAGAAACAATGTAATAAGTACATTGTATTACTAAGTTAAACATAACAGGAAAATGGAATAATTGAAATCCCATGAAATGGGTTTGTAATGACTGAAACAGAACAAGTGATATTGTGTTACATTTAATTCAATAAACACACAGTGAGAAAAACACACTTAGTCTAGTTCTCTGACTCATTCTTGTAGAGATAATTCTTACTTGGACATTGATGTATTGAAGTTATTAGTTATACCTCTATCAATTTGAAGGGTATTTTTTTTAAAATTAGTATTACCAACTCAGGTGATAAAGTAAATTGGCCCTTGTAAAGAGTTACAGAGCTGATGTTTTCAGGGTTAGCTGAGCATTTGCCCTGCACTCTGATGAAGGGCTAATGCTCCAAACTTCTGCTCTGTAATTTGTTATGATGGCCAGTTTGTGATATCAACACAGTTGATAATACTATATTACCCTGTTATACTCTCCCACAGACAACACCACAGTTTCTTTAGAAACTTACCCCCTTTATCAGTTAGAAGCTTCAACGTCCTCCTTCCACAGGCATTAAAATTGGTTTATTCAAATTCCCTTCCACAGGGCAAAAACTGTGTTCAAATGCCTAGCACCTTTACTTCTGAGCTATTCACTCACAAAAGTGAACTATGTAACTTAAACACTCTCATATTCTGCTGGAAAGACTTGACACTTCATACTCAAATCCCCACCTGCCCCTGTGGTGGGGGGGGGGGGGGGGGGGGGGGAGTTTTTAAGCTTTGAACTTAATAGTGTATTCCAGTAATATTAAAGCAATTTTTCTGCTCAAATCTTTAGACAGTTGACTTGGCTATTAATTTCAACAAGACTGTCACTTCCTTACACTGACAAGAACTTTTAAAGGATGGAGCTGAAAGGAAACTTCCACAGTTGTTAAGTTGTAAAATATCAAAACAAAAAGAAAGAAGAGAAAAAGACTTAGTCTTCAAAATAAAATTGCAATGTTCTCTTTGATTTTCTTAGGAAACCAATCAGGAAAGAAAGAGAACTTTGTCTACAGCTTGAAAGTATGGTGACAACCTTAATATAATGACCTAGTATAGTAGAACCTGCTAATCTGAACACCCAAGGGAAACAAAAATGGTTCTATTTAATGGGGGTTCCAGTAAGGTGATAGTACATAACTGAAATCAGATCTTGTTTGAGTTAACAGGAGGAGGACGGGTTAACCACATTGCAGTTACAGTAGTGGGATTCTACAGTGCAATCCAAAATGGTGCCTATTAAAAAATTAAATTATTTTGACATTGAAACATTATTTTTTAATTACATATCATATATTTCAACTTAAAAGAAAATGGTACGTTGTTCATACTCAGTTGTTATCAGTAAGATACAGGGTTAAACCACTCCACTTTTTTTTAGACATATTCAACTTCATGTAGTTGCAGATAGAGAGGCACACATACTCCTACATGTTTTCCTTCAAACTATAAATTTGTATTCACACCATCATTACACAACCTGGTAAAATTATATTACATGTAGTTACCTCTTCAAAGATTCATGCAATCATAAAAATGAAGGATGATTCCCCTTCCACTCATCTGTTCGGTGTACATATAGGTACAACTTACAATAATCTTGTAATAATTAACTTGTAATTCATCACAGCTACAATAAAATTCAGGTTCTTAGGCACTGTGAATCATTTCATAGACACTACTTAAAAAGAAGGTCTTCATCCTCTGCATCGTCAAGTAGATTTGCTGTTTGATCTGCCACAAAAAGAAAAAAAAAATTGTATGACACATTGTAGAGGTTCAAATATAGTTCATGCACATAGCAAGGTTCCCTTGTTCTTTCTTTCCAGTTGACAGATTATAAGATGATCCTCGTGAAGGACTAGGAGTATGTCCTCCAGGTATCAGAGAAATTGTTGTGGATTTTGCTTATAGATAAGTATACAATTCTTCTGTCAGTGACTACTATCAGTTGATCCTGTTGTGTTGTCCCCCCAGTGAGATTAGTTCCGAGAAGGTTATTTGTTGAGAGTCTTCACTGATGTCTTGAAACCTTAGCAGAGTTGAGTAAAGAGCAGTTGTTGGTCCAATGTTATAAGTTTGGTTTGTTTAATCTAATTGGTCAGTTTTGCTGTCATGTTACTGGCTTTAAGACTCAAGTAGTGTAGGTTGGTCATGATTGGCCAGTTCTGATCTGTCAGTAATGTTAGTTTGTTGTGTAAATTTTGTAAATAAGCTGTTTGTATGGTGCCTGTAGCACCAAAAGGTACTTTGCATGAGGTGTTTTAAGAATTGTTGTAAATTTTCTCACCATTAGTTATTCCTTTAGCTTTCTTTAATGCTTCTGCCTTTTGTTTATTAATCTTCTTCTTTTCCTGAATTTTCTTAAGCCTGTACAAAGTACAAGCATGACAATTTTATTGAACATAACAGTACAAGTGACACATAATATGAACATTTGGAACCAACCTGTACCTATAACTAACTATGGTAAAATAAATTACACATTCAATTTAAAATACTTAAAAAAAATTGTTAAGCTGAAATAGAAAACTCTATCACATGCCCTTCATTGACAGAACCAAAGTAAAGACCCAATCCATATAAAACTGTCTCAGTCCTTGCAAAATGCTCCTCAAAATTTCCCATACAGCAGCCAACTAACAAATTTCTCATAGACACAAACTGGTTTTCATTATCTTTGTTGCTTTGGTTAGAGAAATCATTTGCAAGTATATACCTGTAAAATTCTTCTCTCTCTCTTTCATCCAATTCCCCTATGATGTAGGTTATTGTTGCTTCAATTTTGGGAATGATAACTGAAAAAGATTAGATATTAAGTTAAGACTTTTACCAAACAAAAAAACACATCATTCAAAGAGGTTTGAAAAAAAGGAAATGCTGAGGATCTTAATGGAGAGAAAATTAAATTCTTACCATACTCAATAGCATTCACTCTTCTGTTTGTGATTTTGATTGCTTCATCTAGAGTAATGAAAGCAGTCTGAAAAAAAGAAATACATTGGGTTACTTTGGACATCTGACATAATTTACTCATTATTTTGCTTTGTATTGGGTTTAGGGCGTCTTGTACTTTCCTTTTTTAACACCAATCCATACACAAGGCTGGAACTCTTTCTTCAATGGAGTGGTAACTTGCTCAAATGTAACAGCACTTTCACAAACGCATGAGCTGTTACATGACTTGTACGTTTTTCCAAAAAAGTCTATATCAATCTAAATTCAACTATAAGAGTGTCCAGTTCTGAGAGATAATTCTCGAGAACTGGTAAGGAAAAGTCAGGAAAAATAGTGACTTCCATAAGGAAAATCGCCTCTGATTATTTATTAATATTAATACTACATTACAAAGGAATAACCAAAAAGAGACAAAATAACATTAATTTTAGAACATAAAGAGAGGCATTTACCTGTAAAGAAGCCAGCTCAACAAGTAGTTTAACAGCTTTTGCATAGACTTCCTGGCATTTTGAAACTTGTTGACCACCACGTGATAAGCCAGTCAACTCATAACCTGTGAGAAGAGATGCAGGAATATTTTTCAAGATGACAATACTACACACCACTGTGGGCTAAGAAAAAAGCAAGTCATAGAGGGTAGCATGCTGGTACAGTAGTTCTGTCACTGAGTAAAATTTATATTGAATTTCACTTATTATGGGTATGTTAAAAAAGGCATCTGACCAAAATACTTATTAGTGAGCCACAAAAATGCATTAGGCACATCATATTCTACATTTTAAGAGAAAAATCAGCAATAAAAAGGGCCTACAGACATGACTGGAGAATTCTGCAATGTAGATTTCTGTAGAGACCAACTTACTATTGGCGCCATCTGCATAAGTTTCAAAGATTGGCAACTGGACACCTAAATTTAAAGATAAAAAATAAAGTTACTAACACTAACAATAAAAGTTAACAATAGTTGGGACATGACCAGTGCATATCTCAAAGTTAGGACCATTAATTAAAAATAATTATGTGAATTTAATATGAATTATGCAATTTATTTCACCACAATTGGCAGTAGTGTTGCAATCCAACTGGCCAATTTGCCATTGTTGATAAGACTACAGACAACAACAATGATCTTGGTCATGCAATAATGAGAGCATTGTATTTGATGTCAATATTGTGGTAAAAAAACAAATAAACATTTGTTGTGAACTCACTTGGCTGTGCCTCGTGAGTCCACAACATTTTGACCACTTTGATGACAAATATCATTGTTGACATTAGAGTAAAGACCACACTAAGCCACTGACAATTTGTTAATTTTTCTTTTTCCTTGTTTATGAATTGTCAATTGGTAATTTAATTAGAACAAAGGAAAAATATAAGCTGCATTTAAATTACCCATTGTCATTTTCAGAAGAAAATGTATGCTACATGGCCCTTTACACTCTAACATCAGTAAGGATTTTCTCTATTTATTTCCTAAGGTGATTATCTCCTTTATTCTCTGATCTTCATGAATTATTCAGCAATATCACTGTAAGAAGAAATTAGATGTTGGTCACACTAAGGGTTTAAAGGAGTAAAACAAGAGAAAAACATGAACCACAGCAGATTAGCTGAGAGGTTCAGGCAAGGTTTCATGAGCAAACTTGAGTGAGCTTTTAAGTCATGCTGTTGAAAAACATAATTGTGATTGAAAACTTTACCTGCAACATTGTCTTTTCTGAGGCGAATCTTAGTTTGAGCCTTGTCAACATTCTCCAAAACTACATAGCTGAAATGGTAAGATGGCACTTAAAAACATGGATCACAGACTAAAAGGGTACAAGAAAATTTTCATTCTTTCAAAAAAAAAAAAAAAAGACACAAAATGAGAGTCTATAGGCAGACTGAGTACCAATACAAGCAAGACATGGGATTTTAGGATAAAAGAAAAAGAGAAACAAGCTCAAATTCACTTCAATCAATGACAAAATTATTAAGTCTGCAAAGTGAAAGTAGCTATGCTTATAAGACATGGTATCGAATTTTGCACAAGATTCTAGGCACATGGAGAGGAGATGTCATAAGGAAAGGATAAATCCTTGCTCTTATGATTAAATTATAAACAAATTAGTTTGGTAAATTAACTGAAGGACTTCTATATAACCCCAGGCTATTCCAAATCAAAGCTGTAGTCCCAGAGGTAATCTACTGTTTTGCCAATTTTTAAACACTTTATTTCATCCAAGTACGGTGTGTATAATGAAGTACAAGGTTTAAAGGAAATCTTATCAACTGATTAATGATATCAAAATAAATAATAATACCTAGGTAGTGGATAAGTCATTTCATTCTTGTCAATTGTTTCCTGCACAATGTATTGGTTATAAAGGGAGAAGCTAACTGTGAAATCATCTCTGAGCATTAAAATTAATTCCAATCAATTAGCCCTATAACTCCCAAGATCTCTTTCATAATTCCCCATACTGTCTGCTGAAGGATTCTCATTACATTAGTTTAGACAATTTGGTATTGGATCAAGTAGTAATCCCATAATTAATACTTTCACACTCTCATCACTTTTCTGCATGATATTGTATATATATAATAGGGAGAAATTCTTGGTCACTCATGGTTGTTAACTCTTTAACTCCCAAGATCTAATTAGTAATTCTCCTTACTGTCTGCCATAAAGTTCTTATGATGTTAGTTGCAAGAATTTGGTATTAGATCAACTAATAATCCCCTTATCAATATTTTTCTTTATTCTCATCACTTGTCTACTTGATACCGTATTGATGTTGTTAGGAGAAATTCTGTCTTGGTCAAACATGGGAGTTAAAGGGTTAAAGGGTTAAGGCGAAATAGCAACTGAATCACATGATCAAGGTACAGTCGACTATCAAAAAAGCCTGAATTCATTACGTAACGAAGTTCTAACCCTGCTAAGAATTAAGGCACATTAGAAATTGTTACCTGAAATCCCCAGCAGCAAAATTTGCCTCGGCCAAAGAGAAAGTAGCCTCTCGCATTACATCACCCATCAAAGTTTTGGTCTGTGGTAAAACAGGGAAGCGTCATAAGTATCATAAAACTATTGTTCTAGACAGCATTCTCAAACATCTCAATTATCGCTTTAAATAGTTACCTCTATGATCATTTTAAGAATTTTTCTGAAACGCATCGTCAAAGCGTCGGATTTCTTTTTTAGAAGACTGTGTCCTTTCTGAGCTCCTTTCAGTCGAGCTTTCATCAAGGTTAGGGCCCTAAAGAAATAACGAAACAAACATCTTCTCTCTATTAATTCTTTCACAAAAAAGACTGTGAAATGTAAGTTCGATTGTTCTTCTTACATTCTTGAGGGGAAAATGTTCAGCCTATCCTTTCCTCCTCCTGACATCTTGAAAAAAATTAGGACAATTCTGACTCTCGATCGCAAAATTTCACCCTCCTGAGAAGCTCACCTTTAAAGAAACTTTGTTGTGTAAGTAGACACAAAACATCGCATATTCCTTAGAAACCAGGCCTGCTCATCTAATTGCCCGTGCTTGATCAGCGGTCTGCATCAAACAAAAGAATTCCCGGATCTTCTTTCTCCCTCTTTATGCCACGTCGCCCTCCATTTTGAAAGCCGTATTGATGCCCGAAATCAAGACTTTTATTTAGTCTTGAAATACTCTACGTTTCTGAAATGAGTCCGTTATCAATCTTCTTAGTTCTACCTTTTGTTTCGTTGGAATATTTTGCCTTAGTAAGCTCTATTTCGTTCACTTTGCCGCCCGGACAAGAGAAGTGTCTGAGAGAGGAAGTACACAAAGATGTCTTAGTGACCGGTGAATATAAGTTATCGGACGCTCCAAACATGAAAACGCACTTGACGGTGGGTTTGAAGACCGTAGAAATTTCTGCATTGCATATGGCCTCTATCTATGAGCCTGTGGTGCTTTTATTTTTAAACTATTTCCGCAGGTTAATCTCGTGCATTATGTGCATGGTAGATCGATGCTAAAGGGTTTTCATGAATGTACGATCCCCTTTAATTTTTGTAGGTGAGTGATTCAACTGGACATGTCTTATACAAGAGAGAAGATGCAAGCAAGGGGAAATTTGCTTTTACAACGGACGACTACGATATGTATAAAGTTTGCCTAGAAAGTGAAGGTACACTATCAATGATACGGCATTGAATTTTGCACGAGATAAGGCAAATGCTAAGGGAGAGAAAATGTCATAAGGGAAGGATAATTCCTTGCCCTTCTGATTAAGAGTTACTCTCTTCAAGTGCCTTGAGTCTTAAATATTGATTTTGATTGCTCATCATGAGACAAATGATTAAACGTTCATTCATTCTTATAACTGCGATACAATGAACAAACAGATTTTTTCTACAGAAAGTAATATTCATATCCATGTAAAGAAAAAATTTTGAGAGCAAGATTTTCATATTCCTTGAACTTGATGATGCCATTAATGTATTTCAACAGTTGCACTTGGGTCTCTCCAAAGCACTGTTGAGGTTTACATGTGCACATTATTTATAACTTGATCAATAATAACCTTAACTTTGATCTCAAACCCAGAGCAATTTGATTACTTAGTGGTCTGCTCAGGTATATGTATTTAGAAATATTACATTAAGTCTCTGTTAAAAGTATGTGTAGATAAAAAGGGATGGCAATTCACTCAAAAAAATGTTAATACACCTTTTTTGTCTCTTTTCTACTAAATTACAGGGACAGCCGGAGGAGGAATTGATCGTGAGGTTTTCTTGAGTGTGAAGCATGGAGTAGAAGCAAAGAATTATGAAGATGTAAGCTATTATTACTGTTAAATGTTTGTAGACTTCCCTTTTGTTTCTATTTGATAATGTTATGAATCTCCTCCTTTGAACAAAATGGTCCTTCTTTCAAATAAATTGCTCTGGAAAAAAAGTGTGCCTAACACCCTCATGATTTATTTATTATTGGTTAAGAATGCAAGACAGAAGTAAGTACAATTGAATTGTGTTCAAAGTTTTAAACCAACAAGAAATTAGAATCATGCTGCATTCAGTACTAAAACTACCAAAGCTGACTTTATCTCATCAGTGGGAAATGCTTCTTTGGGATAAAGTAGATATTGTAAATCATTAGCTGACTTCTTGTTTTTCCCAAAAAATAGTTGGCAAAGGCTGAAAAGCTCAAGCCCATGGAAGTGGAACTCAAGAGGCTGGAAGATTTAGGTGATGCTATTGTAAATGATTTTGCTTACATGAGGCAAAGGGAACAAGAGATGAGAGATACCAATGGTAAGGAACTTGAACTTGCTTTCTAAAGTATGGACACCTTAAAAGGTGTTTCTTTTATTTTATAGTCAGATATACAGTATTTTCTGTTTATGGTTTCCTTTTCTTTGTCTTCATTGATTAAGCTTCAGTGGAGAATAATGTTGATCAATTTAAATTTAGGCAAATATCTCTACAAATACTACTACTGCTAACAGATATACCTGCACATTTGGTTTTTCTTTGTTATGGAGTGTCTGTGAAGTTTGTATTGGATAATTTCTGTCTTAGTTTTTTTGTGATATAATAAGCTCCTGTTCATACACAAAAACAGACTCATGTCAAAAGGTAAATCACAATGCACTGAACCTTCCTACTGCAGACATCTGATTGTTCATTCATCCCTCTAACTGCTACAAATTTCCTTAATCAGTTACGAGAACTTTCTTCTATGTTATAGGGAGAAGTTACTTCTTACTCAGTTCTAATTAGGTATTTTTGTTTTTACTTTGCAGAATCTACTTATTCTAGAGTGTTATACTTCAGTATTTTCTCCATTTTGTGTCTCTTTGGTCTAGCAACATGGCAACTTTTCTACTTGCGACGATTCTTTATTGCCAAGAAGCTTATAGAGTAACTTTTTAAAGGATTTTAACAATTGATACCACTTCCAAGTTTACTTCTGTGCAAGATCCTAATATTGTGTGCCATCTTGAAAATCCAACTCGTTGTCTGGAAAGGAACAGTTTTTCAGGGGTTGTTTCTTGTTAATCCCTTTTTATACTTCACTAACTTGAGTAAAAAGTACTGTTTCAAAGTGTGTTATATGTTTGAAGATCTCTACAACTACTACTATGGAGCCAGTACCATTTGAACTTAAATATTCATGATGGTTGCACATTTTGGTTTTGATCTGTGTGTGGTTTTGCAATTAGAAGGAGGTGAAATAGATGGCTTATTTACTCGTTGATTTGATTTAAGGCAGTGATGGCCTACACCAGTAGGCGTTAAAAACAGCAATAACCTGTCATTAATGATTAACCATGATAGTAAATTTTGAGAATAAACCATTTATATGTGGCTAATTGCTTCAAAGAGGGACCAATCCTCAGAAAACTGCCATTCCAAATTTCTTGTGGCTGGCAATTAACCCCAAACAACCAATTGCACATGAGAAAAATACTCTCCAGGTGTCTAAAGCAAGTTTATTCCTCTGTTAGGTAAGCAGATTTTGTTGGGTGGTGCTTGTGTGTACTAACCAATAACCCTGTAACCCTTTAAGATCTGATTGTTATCTCCCCCCTTCAGCTACAACACGTCTATTTGTAAATATGTTATGAGAATTTGGTGTTAGATCAAGATAACCTCTAACTGATAAGTTTGAGTATTCTCATTACCTGTTTGCTGGGTAATGTTTGGATTTTTTAGGGAGAAGTTACATGTTTATCACTTCTAGGAGTAAGGGGTTAAATAAGAAAAAGAGTATTAATAATAGTGATCAGATATGATACATTTATTGATACAATCTCATACCTTTTAACAAAGTTTCATTGTACTCAGATATGCTCCAGATCAGTAAAGTGCTATTGATTAAATACTAGGGAGTACCCTGTTAAATACAAATTTTCGTCGACTTAAAAAATAAAAATTTAGGATTTTACTTGTTCCACTTTCATTTTCACAGAATCTTCATGAAACAGCAGAACTTAATTGTCTCTTGCTAAAGACAATTTGATCAAAATGATCCATTGTCATATGATTTGGCATTAATCTTGCATAATAGTCATTGAATAAATAAAAAATTTAAGAACAAAATGGAAAGAGATGGACTTGACAGGAGAGAATAACTCTGAATTCTTTTTTTGATAATTTTTGGGAAGGTTACTGGAGTGGCAGAGTTAACATGACCCAGTTTTCCCAGCTTGCGTGATAGCATATTGAATGTGCATGAAAAGTAAGACTGTTTTTCTGTTGATTAGAAAAGAATTCAAAACAATATTGGTTGAAGTACTGCCCTGATTGGGCTTCCCATTTGCAGCTTGATGTAGCATATTTCACATATGACACTCACTGCTCCCCCACCCCCCCAGTCATATTTCACATTTGATAAACAAAACCCCCTCTCCCCTCTAATCTATTCCCCCTCTAAAGATTGATCAACAGGAGATAAACACAGGGTCTCCAAGCTTGATATTTCCTTCACAGTCTGGAGCCATTTGAATCCCAAAGAAAGGAGCGTTACCATGTCTTGGGTCTCTGTCTTGAGGCAATCTTGTCCTAGAGAGAAATAAGATGCTTCCTTGATCATTTCTCCTCAGTATGATCTTTATACCCAGAGCAATAGAAAAATGAATTAAAACTGGATTTTTCACCCCTCCCCTAACCCAACACCAGTTAACTGATAACAAGTTAGGGTTGATGTTGGGTTAGGGGAGGGGTAGGTGCCTAATTGCTCATATAGTGACATTGATTCAGGTTGACTTATTATCAAATTAGTTTCTCATTTGGATTAAATTTCTTTCACTGGGTTACTTGAGAATTGTTGGTCACAATTTTTCTCTGATTCCACAATGACAAAGGAATATGGTCCTTGTTTGCAAACATTGGTAGAGGAGGAAAAACAATTACATTTTAACCCTATTGATCACAGCTGACACATCAACATAAAGTTGAAAACTCTTGAATTCCACAAGGAATGTTTAACACTTCCAGGAATTGTGCCATGCCCTTGGTCAAGTGCAATGAAGTAACAAGTTTCACAATAATGATATTGAGTAAAAGGAAAATAATTTGTTGGTTCACCTTCTCAAAGTTGAGAGTGGTTCAAGTCCATTCTTTATCCCAGTTTCAGGATCTATGGTGATCTGGGTACATCTTTGGAAAACAATGTTGAATAACTCATTGAACATACAGAATATGGTTCTCCTCCATTGCTCTTTTTAAGTGCCAACCCCCTTAGCCATTGAGTACCAAGTACAAGTACCTTTCTTAAACAGTGGGGATACAGAGGAGACCTGTTTCTATTGCCAATTTAAGTTAACATTTTAAGCTTCAAATACAGCAGGATCAGTACAGGCTAATACTTTCTCAACAAGCCCCCCCTCTCCATTAAGTGCCCTTCTTCAGAATAAGCACCCCTCCTTATGAGCTGAAATTTTGCACCCAGGTGTTTATTTGACAAAATTTGGTTTATAATAAGTGAGACTAGTGATGGCCTCCAGGAAAATGCTGGCATACTTTTCCATTTTAAACATCAAACTCCATATCTGCTTAGTGATTCTGAGTTCGAGCCCAAGTCATAGGCATCTTACCCAAGGCAACAAAGCTCATGCAACCTCATCTACTTCTTGAAAACTTGAACAAATATTTACCTTCCACAGTCCTTGAGAGTTCTAAACCTAATATCTGCTATCTTGAGATATTTTTGGTGCCAATGATCCTTAAAATGAGTAAATAATTTACAATTAGCTAACATGGATGCACTTACCCTGAGTGCTGTACTATCCCAAAACATACAAGTTTTGCACTGAACATTACACTGCAGTTCTACAAAACTGTTGAAATGCAATTTTTTATCTTATACAGATCTCCTAGGATAAAAGATAGTATAATGTCCCGAGAAGACAGTCAACAGGTTAACCCTTTTAGCCCAAAGAGCAATTGGTAACCAATTTTTCCATGGTGTATCACCCTGGAATCAAACAATAAGGTCACAAGAATAAAGGAATTGACCACAAACTAAAGAAGCTTTTGATCGTTCCACAAATTCACCTAGACAGCACCTTAGAAAACGTATGGTAAACATTATGCAGAACATGCTTACTGATGTTTGAGTGTAAAGGGTTAACCCTTTAACCCCTCAGAGTGACAAGCATCTAATTTCTCCTTACAATTTATCACCACTGTATCAGACATTAAGGTTATGAGAATAAAGGAAATGATGACAACCTACAGAAGCTCTTGATTGTTAAACAAATTCTCCTTGTTCAAATCTTATGTAATGTATAGAGAACAGTAAGGAGAATGTGCATACTGATGTTCACTGTAAAGAGTTGACTTTGTTGTAATATAGTTACAAAGGAAAAAATCTGGGACAGGAAATTTAAATTCATTAAAGTAACAAACCTCGGCAAAAGGCTCAGTGCCCCCAATGATAACATTAGCACGGAATCTATCCATCCCAATGGGGGATTTCAAAATCCCATTCAGTTCCACTAGTGATGACTCTGTAGTCATATGATATGCTGCAAAACTTGCATAACCCACCTACCCAATAAGAACATTTAAAGAGAGAGTGAAACTGAATTGTGATCAATATATCAGTATCAGAGACTACACACCTACCCCTCCCCTGATCCAACAACAAACAACTGAAAACAAAATTAATTGGCTTTATTGTTAGGCCAGGAGAGGGGTAGGTGTGCAGAACTTACTCAGATATTGATATTGAACTCTAAATTCTACAACATTTATTTGGTATAATTTAATTACAATTAAAGATAAATGGTCTTGGGTGAAAAAAACGCTGTGCTGAACACCTCTTGTATAGCCAAAATAAGACACAAATTGGTCAATTTGATATAATCTAATCATAATTACCAGTAAATGATTTTAGGTGAAAAAATTATTGTCAGTGCTGAAAACTCATGGCATAGACTAAAACGCAAATAAGCTGATAGAAAAGTTGATAGAAAAGCCAATAGAAAAGTTTACTGAGCTCTAGTATTATTGGAGATGATAAGATTTCGCAAGATTGAAGGGTGAGGTTCTCAGTGACTAAAATGCTTCTATTGATTGAAAAGCTATAAACTTAGGGGAAAATAAGAAGTAAAAGCTATCAGTTTATCAAAGGTTTGCAAGGGTTTTACCCAAAGAACCTGTTCAATTAAATTTTATAAAGTTCACATTCAAAAGGCTGCATGTAACAACCCCTCACTTCCTCTCCCCCTCTTACCCCTTACCTCAAAACTTCTTTCCACCCCCCTCTCCTTAAATACGCTGTAACTATTATCTCAAAAATTCAGCTGCTAGGTGTAAAAATTGAAAAATTTTAACCAACAGTTGAAAAAAAATTATACCACAATTTTGTTTTCTTTTAAAAGGGAGAAAGTTAATGGTCAAAATTTTAACCATAAGCCATGAAAACTATCACCTTGTTGAGACCATCTCCTGTGTTTCACAAGGAATAGACCATTTGAACCAACAATATAACAATCTACCTGAGGTCTTTCAGGTAGCTTGTTTGCCTGTTTGCCACATACCCTTTCAACTGAAGTATCTAAAAATCAAGTTGGTACCTGAATTTCACAGTTTGACAAACCAGAACAAAAATGGACAATTTCTGAACCTACCTTGTCTCCCGGTGATGCTAGATTGCCCCATTTTGTATCTTTTGTGGAATCTCGGGGTTCATGAATTTGATACATTTTGCAGCCTGGTTTGTTCAGCAAAGTTGAAAACCATAAAGAAGCTTCATCTCCAACATAGCAACTCTTGGATGAGATTCTCAGTACCCTAAAGTTAGTCATGAATAATGCATTCAGGATCATATTTTAATGATCATAATATAATAATATTGATGATAATTATAATATTTGTCATCATCATCATCATCATCCATGAATGAGCCAATTACATGTACAAGGTTGATATTGATCCTGAACTAATTATACAGGGGTCTTCACGAATCTTAGAGAGATTGCCGATTTTGAGTGCATTAACAAATCCAAGAAATGTGAACTTCTGCAAGAATATTGTACAATAAAGGTAAAGTTTAATACTTGAGGTCTTTAAACTCCTTAGTGTCCAGCTGAATAGGAATTCTCAGAGTGTCCATACTAGGGGCATTGAGACAAAGTTTGCCATCTTCAAAGTGTGGAACCACTTGGGCCAACACTGGTTTGTCCACCGAAGTAAGGTACTTATCATTTCGGTCTACTACCACCCAATTCCTGTGAGAGAGAGCCAAAAGTTTCCATTTAACTACAGATTGCTTTGCGTTTTCAATGGTAACCAATAACAATCAATGACAACAAACGATAGTCTCAACAATTAATCGATTGAGATTGGAGATCATTAAAAGCCAATGCCGCAGG